GTGAAAACTATTGGGCTACTCATATACACATATATATATATTGTTTGTAAAGTGATTACTTGCAAATGCTTCTCAGGAAAATGTTTTATTCAGATCATGCATATAATACCCAAGCTAATTATGCTTTTCTTAAACCTTTTCAGACTTATGGAAAAACATATATGTGCCGTGTACGCAGATGGAACTTACTGACGGTAACAGAGGACTACTCATCTGAATCATCTGTACATTTGAAATCTGACTTTTGTTTAATAAACAATTTTTCAGTGAATCTGTCTTCCTTGCGTACTTATGCGATTGTCTTCAAGCAACATAAGTAACACGTGCTAAGTTAGAAGTTGAGGGTAAACTGTTAGGAGTAAATGCGGCGTCTGGATGACTTTTGTTTACGTGATTATACGAGCAGATAGTAACGTATCGTGTTTCGTGACTGATAACCCTAGGCATTCTTTTTTTAATTATTACGGTAACCGTAGTTGCACTGAGTCATACATCTAACAGCATAGGTATAGTCTCTCCTTATGGTACATTGCGACATGCAGAAATCACAAGCAAACTATCTCAGGTAGATTTACTCTCACTTTTTTTGTGACCATGAATCGGGAATCAGTTTACGTATTCTGCTATGACGACATATAACTCGAAACGCTTTATAATCGCAAGACCTCCTCTACGATTTAAACATATTTACTTTATTTGACTACAACATAATCTTTTACCAATAGGCTTTTCCAAATATCTGCTCCTACTTAGCATTTCAAAGATAGCCTCATATACTCTATACCTCACAAATTACGCAAGGGCTAACATTCGGTCTTATCAAGTAGAATAAACAAACGAATAACGAGGAATACATTTATTAATGAATTAACATGTAATACAAAATCGACAACAGTGCAGGTATCTTTTTCTTCATCACCCAAATCCATGAAATTCCCGAAAGTAGATATCATCTGAAAAAGAACATAAGAATTATACAGATGTAGACGTTGTTATCAGTGTAAACACAATAGTTAACCATGAAATATGTTTGAAATGACGAAATAATTAGTTGAATTGCATATAATTAGGTCAGTAAACATTTTTCAAGGATACAAAATTGATATTGCTGGGCATTAACGGTTTACGAGACGTGACTGACAGTATCACTTAATCTTAAGAAGCATGTGCTTACTTACTTTCACTGTATTCTCTCAATACTGATGTGCTCAACTAGCTTATTCCAACTGAATTCAAAATTAATTCTGAAAGTGAGTGAAGATCCAGTTTATGTCAAATAAAACATGTAGCTTACATGTATTACACTGCTTACTGAGGCATCTGATACCTGCTTTCCGATCTTCGTGACAAGAACACAGTTTATCTAGGTTTACCTACATATACATGAGTATATGTATATGTGCAATGAAAACTTGTCCTGCACAACGTCGGAACGCGACTTAGGTCTAGTTCTAACGGAAAAAATGGACACAAGCGTAAATTACACAGGGGATGTAGCGAGGGCATATGCGGTCATACACTTTACGCATAGACAGTTAGGTGCACTCACTCCTGAGCTCTTTCTAATGTTGTACAAAACATACGTCAGGCCACACCTTGAGGTGCATAATATTATTGCACCCCCAATGCTGAGAAGAGATGCCAACCTCTTGGAGAGAGTCCAACGACGGGCAACAAAAGGAGTGGTTGGTCTCCGAAACAAACCATATGATGAAAGGCTGAAGAAATTAGGCCTGTTCACACTTAGTTACCGTCGGCTTAGAGGGGATTTGATTACTGCCTACAAAATAACAAATGACCAGAATCACCCAAACAAAGGTGTTCTGCCATTGAGTAGGTATAGGCTTCCACGTGGAAATCCCAGAAGGATAGCTCACCAGAGGGCAAGGACCCGGGTGCGCTCCCACTTCTTTTCACTGCGGGTTTGTCGTCCCTGGAATTCCTTACCGGCAGATGTAGCTATGGCACCGTCTTTGGACGCCTTTAAGCGAAGGCTGGACAACCATGCAGCTATACAAGGACTGCATCCAAATGGCCTATCTCCTTAAAATCGCATTTACCAATCAGGGTAGATAATTAAACTCGTCATTTTACTTCTTTACATTCTCTCCCGTCTTACTCTCCTGACAACTTATTAATATTATAATTACTATTATTTTTTTTTTTTTCCGATATATATATTATTCTTCAAACTTCATGAGCTGACTGTTGTTACGTTTCCTATTTTCGTTTCTGTCTCTTAGTCTGAATAGCTTCACTAATTATATCTACTATTATTATTATTATTATTATTATTACTATCTCTTTTCTCTTGTCGACAATACCGAAGGACTAACTGGCGAAAGGATCAACTCCAATCACAGTAGTAACAGTCTTAACATACCTCATACTACAAACCACATATAATTAATCCCAGCACTACTCCCTTTGGAGTCAACCAAAGCTACGACAGTCGAGTGGCGGGACAAGCTACGCAGAAGTTTACCGAAGATCAAGAACCTATACCTCACAATCAAGAGGCGAGCACAAAGAAATCAAATTGGTTTATACTAGCTCGTAAAAACGATATTGGATATTGGATATTGGAACCATGCCATTTTTATCATGATTAGCCAGACCACTGTGTATATCATACTTATTTAAGGATCTCTTAAAATAATGGTCAAGCGATAATTGAAGTTGCGTGAAGTTATTACCTCTTCAGAACATTGTTTGCATTCTTTACACCCCTAAGATGTCCTTAGATCTTAATTTGGCATGAATTCGTTGAATTCAGCAAACAAATCCACTGGTATATCATTTCTCTCCTGAGCTGTAATAGTTTGTGTTGTCAGTTATCTCTCCAATTTGATAAAACGATCCCGGAAATTCAGAACTTAACCAAGCAGCAAAATGATGTTTGAAATTACCTCAACTAGAATGACAAACTGGCCAATCACGAGCGAGCGAATCGCTTGTTTATCTCATTCGCGGTCACTCAAAATTACGGCCGTCTACAGGCTGCGGCAATGGATAAAGGCACACACGAGGTGTCGTCATGTGTTATCGCGATGTTGTGTTCGGGTTGTTCTACGTTGTTTTCCGGTGTTTTTTCAACTGAAATACATTATAAATACCATATTTTAACGAAAAAACTTAGAAAAATGGTGGAAAGTAGACGCTTTCAGCAGTTTGAGTGAACATGTATCTGTCATTGAATTTCGTTATTTCTTTCCATGTGGAATGTTAAAACTCTGTGTAAATTGTTGATTACGTTAAGGAAAACGAAATCAATTAGGCAATTGATGCATATTTTGCGAAATTCTGAAAGGGTGTTTTGAATCTCTGAGATATGAAAACTTGGAAACATTCAGAAGAGTCTACAGCTATAAAGGAGTGTTAGTTGATTTATTCGCAAGATAACAGTTAATAAACAAATTTTTTTAAATAGTTACTTTGGTTTGGAGTATTTTCGTGTTGCTAATTATTTGTTAACGGATGTCATACTATTGTTGATTTGCAGGTTGCAATTGTAATTTACGGAGTGGTTCACTTTATTTGGAGGCTTTAATGAAGTGCAATTGAAGAATTTGCGCGTTATCGTTGGAATCTTTGTGATATTATAAAATTATTTATCAAAATAAATATCTCTTTAATGTTTTAACGGTGTTCTTTAAAGAATTCACTACTACTTCCCTTTGCTTGTCGAAGGAATAGTGATGTAGCCGGTTTTGGAATGCGTAGTGATTTAATCTGAAAGAGTGATAATTTACGCAGCATAAGAATACTAGGATTTTCTTCAATAGGATATACCTATAACGCGTTATTTTCGATGTACGTAGCCGCCCTACATTTGTTATGTATATGTAGTAATCGCAAAACAAACCTAAGCTCAACGTACATTTTTTCGCAAGCCCTGATGAAAGATAATCTTTTACGCAGCCGTATTGAGTGTAACTGAAACATTTCATGGGAGGCTTGATGACGCACTGAGGAAATAATAACGGTTTACGATTATCACGCATTTCACACAAGTATTACTACGTTGCCTATCAACTTCGTTAACTATGCAATGTCCTCGAAATGATAATTAAGAGAGATACATGTAGTCAACATAAATGCATATATTTACAAAATAAAAACAGTTAAACAGTACATATTCACATTAAAAAGGGTGGAAAAAAATCACAGTTGTAGATTTTTTATGGGTACATGATTGTCAAATTAAAGTCCACTAATCGTTTTATCCACAATATGTGGATCAGTTTCCCTTAGATGATTGTGACACTGGACCAGTCTTTACAGCTTTCAGCACCACCTGATCCTTCAGAAGAAACTGGTTATGACCTTTCCATGCAAAGATTGAGATTGTATTCCTTTGACCACCTCCGGCCACACTGAGAAATATCTAAGGATATATACATATCAGATGAATTAATCTTACCTCAGGTGAACAATCCCTAATCTTAGCAACAATGAATATGTGAACAAGGGAGGGAACAATAGTAGAATCGGTATGAACAGTCCATATATCCCATAATAAACTTGAAGAATCCTAAAACTTCCGATTTATCTTTCACACTTTGTCTTCTGCAAAATGCAAATGTTACACAAATGCCTCTCCTCTCTGTCCGTTACAATCAACTGAAAAAGACTAAATCTTCAAACTTTATACTTCTTTGATTAAGTTACCCAATAATATTCTCTTTTTTGGTGGGTCCACATGCATATCACATCTGTAGAATCTATACATGCGTTAACTTGTGTCCTTAAGCTGAAAAAATGTAATGTTTATGCGACTTTTATTAGTATCACTTCAAAGCCCGCCTCAGTAACGTGAGCTACGTATTAGGCGCAGCATTTATGCAAAGTAAAATCTACCAATCGCAGTACGCATATGTGACCTTGAGGTGCTCAGCCTCTCCATAAGGTCGTGTGTGCCTTTATCCATTGCCTACAGGCTGCCCTACGCGCTGCCTGTATCCTCAGCTGGACTTTTTATATTATTTCTCGTTTGCCGCATGTCTCACAAAAATATTGTGGCAACTCCAAAGAATATTGTTTTCTCATTACAACTTATGGGGAAAGTTTATATATCTCTCTGGGTACATCCTTTCGCTCTTCATTTAATATCCGATTAGCTAAACTGGTCACCATGGTGACGGTTGCACAACTATGCTTATGGTTGTATAACTTAGGCTTATATTTACAAACGACACTCCCTTTGTATAATATACACCATCATTTTATAAATCACTTGGTTTTGAAATTATTTATTAGTATATGTACTAATAATTGTCACGTATGAACATTTCGAAACGAATTCAGATAAAACATTTTGGGGTTTCTTAGGGGAATCTCGACGCAGAAATCGGAGTAGTGCATCATTTTCCCTTGAAAACCCTTGAAAATCCCTAGAATTTGCCCCGAAATGTTATATTTGGAAACAGTTGTGATGTTATCTGTTCGCCTGAGTTATTATGAGCTACAGTCCCTTAGAGCTGCAATCAAGCAACACTGTATTGTATTCTGTAGGTCATGACTCACTAGGATACCTACGTCCGTGTCGACTGCCACTAATAGGATGGGTATCCCCTGTATTTCATATGCTTTGACGCATGCGGGATCGTCACACTTTCTTGTGCCCTATTTTACGTTAATTGGGAGCATCCATTCTTTGGGTCAGTCTTGTGGTTTACTGAAACCTTACAAATCGCTCGAACAGCTGCCCGGTGGTTGCCCACGGGTCATTTTGTCAAAAAATATTTATTAGTTACTGGTTAAAGTATTCAATTTGGAATTAAGACACTTTTAGTGCTGTTTTTACAATTCTCGTATTTGCTTAGTGAAATATTCCCATGTAAATACATTTTTTATGTAATGTAGCTGCTATGTCAAGTTTAAGTCGCGTCTGATGGCTTTAGCTCACATGCATTTTTGCTAATGTTTCAAATCACTTAACTTTTTCTCGATATTTTTCTTGTCTTAAGACAAGAACAATTAATTGTTCATATTTCATGAGTGAAAAAATATTTTATTCCACTTTTCCATTCATTTCACAGCTTCATGTTTTAGCTGGGTTTTCCACTGATACAAGGTGAGTTTTCGTGCAATTCCATTCATTTTTTAACCCAGCTGTTGCTATTTCAAGTTCATATTCTTTAGGCCTAGTTTATGTACGTGTTGTCCACATTTACAATTTTGGTGGCAAAGTATTACCGAAGCTATCCTTCATGGTGTATTGCTCACCCATCTATTAGAAGTTCAGTTTTCTTTGTTAACTAATTCGTAGAGAACAGCCAAGTTTTCTTACTTATTATGGTTATAGTTGCGGATAATTCTCCACATTCCTTACATAAAACCAAAAAATTCCACAGATCTTATAATATTTCATACTCTCAACCTATTTCAGTGCACGTTTGTGCTAATTAATGCGTTATCAGTCACTCGTTCTCAGGATTTCTAAGGTATTGGTTTTCAAAGTGAATCGCAGTCTAGTGACCTTCATATATCTGTCTTAGACATTTGTATTTCATTAAATGCCGGGAAACGCTACTCTGTAGCGTCTTTCATACCCGGATTTTGTAGAATTCACAAATACATGCCATCGTGAGACAACAAAGCAGTTGCGTTGTATTCCTTCATTTGTTAGTGTCATGAATTCAAAATTCTGTGACTCCTCAGGTTATTTTTTCATAAAGCGTGTCTCCTCAACTACAGAATTATTTGAATGAGATTTTTCAGTCCGATTCCATTTCGTTTGCATTTAGTGCATGGTGCCTTATGATACTACACAGATGCCCAAGTTAAAGTCCTCGGCATTAGGCTAAACAAAACTGACAATAGTAACTATTAGTATTCGGTCTGTTAATTTTGTCATTTGAATTTCTTTGGCCTATATATTATTAAACAATACTGGATATCTCAGTCTTTGATCATAACCCCAGTAGATATCTAGGATAATATTTAATGCGAAGTAGTATGGGATAAGTTATGTAGGGAATTGTGAATCGCTAATCTGATGTTTTGAGTTATTACAAATCAGGAGTCCATTACGTTATCTTATATGTATTCACTCCTCATTGCCATTCGCACATTTTGTGGACTTTATATAGGTCTTCACTATCCTATCTTTTCGTTCCTTATTTAATAGTGCTTTAAGGTGTTGAAATTCGGACTAATTTACAGTCTTTTATTTCTTTTGAACTTGAAAACGTATTCCTTTACCCACATTTATTCTGGTTTACCAAGTGACACGATGTAGTTGTATGCTTTCTTTCATTGAAGGATAGTAACAGGATCTTTCAATTTAGATATATAATAACTTTGGAGTTTACTATCCAGAGAAACGTTACCAACGGATGATGTAATACTACTATGTGGCTGTTCAGATTATTACACCTTATATAGGCATGCTAAATGTGACATTGAAAAGCAAAGTAAAATAAAAGGAGTTTAGTTGATCACATAGTGGCAGAAAACCAAGGAGAATGTTATAAGGAAAGCGCAGGAGTGTGATGTCGCTAGCAAGATGATGATGAGGTATAAACTGTACCATTTGCAGTCTTTGAGCATATGTTCTTTAGCTCATGTAGACTTCAGTAGCGTGACCTAAAGTTTATACATGCTTTAAGGGGATAGTAAGTGACCCGACTTAGGTACGATGTTTCTGTTCGCCAACTCTTCATTTCCTTCCAAATATGACTCCACATCTGTTAATTTGGCACATCCATGTCTTTAAGTTAAAAAAGTACTTTTCCACTTTTTTCTGTCTCCTTTTCAGTGTACAACGTTGACACTTTAATCAGCAGTCAGTTGGTAACTTGATATAGATCTATCGGCAACCTAAGGTATGTCTCTAGCATCGCGATAGTCTAGTTCTGTGACATGCTGTTACTGACCTATTCTCCAAAGCTTAGTAAAGCCTATTGACTAGTTAATAAACAGTCTCTTGTTCTCTTTTAACCGAATTCCGTCAATTAATTTTCCTACTTGATGACCAAGCTAAGACGGGATGGGTAACATTCTTCACTGTAATGTAAATATGTTAAATGGAGAATCCGGTAGCCGTCTTCATTCTACGTTTTATTTGTATTACTTATCGATTCCAATATTGTTGATTGACCTATTTTAGTAAAATCACCCTTCACTACTTGTTTTATTTTATGTTTTAAAATGTGTCAACAAAAGTTTTCTTCTAAAGACACAAGTGTTTCTACGGATTACTGGACAATTCAGACAAACTACCACTGCATATCAAAGCCTTTCTAGCCAGTAATAGCAATATCAGTGACTAATGAACAATACTGGTTATCAATGTTTAATCAAATCGTTATGTTTAAATAGGCATGCAAGATAGGCGCATGGTAGTAGCCTTCGTACAACTTATCCGTAATTGTTGATTGGAATCTATCATTTCGGTGTGCAATGTCATCATTAAACTAAGTGACAGAATATTTTAGTTTTAATATTGTGCGTCGGTGGCACAGTGGTTAGGACTCTCACCGACCATGAACATGGTCCGAGGTTCGATACCCTGCCGACGCACACCTGATATCTATGGTCGGCCTGCAAAATTTGGGCTACCGATATCCATGCTGAAAATTCCTTACTTGTACCAAAAATACAATGTGGAATCAAGCTGTAATCAAAAGTAAAAATAAAATAAATATTTTACTTCTAAATGATTGGTTCTTCCACCGGTTGACTCCTCATAACATCTAGCATCAGATTACAATTCACTAGTTCACATAAGTGCCATGCTATTCAACTTATAAATCATGTTGCATACTAAATCGGTATGCTCTGATAAGAGTGAACAGAGGTTCATTTTACGCTATCTAACAATAAATTTGTTCGCTATTCAGTATGCTTTCAATTTCAATAATAGTGATATTTTTTAAATACTGTCAGCGCATCTTATGGGCAATACTGTTTATCATGCCAAATGAAGAGATATATTGTTCAACACCATTTCATGACGGTGATAGTAAGAATAAGAATGAACAATGGATATCCTGTCAATCAAATAACCTGGAAGACTACATGAAAGAAAACCAAATGTTGAAATTAAAGATTTCAGAACTTTCCACACTCATTCAAATGAATGAAATGAGTTTTGGTCGTCGTTTAGGGTAAGTATTATTGTATAAAAGGTGTTTTTTTTCACGTAGATTTCCCATTGTAATTAGGTGTTTTAAAGCAAAAAGAAATCTTAAGTATAAGATTTCGGGATTCTTTTAGCACTTGACCTGGTCGCAGTGGAATTAGAGCATGTCAGTCATGAATGTATCTGTTATTATTGTGCCCATGATAGTTTTTTTCAGCGTGTAGGTAGGTATAGGTACATTACAAGTTCTATGTAACTTAACAAACCAAGGGAAATTCGTAAAAAATTATATTATCTCAGCGATATTGAAATGAGTAATTCCAACGTTTCGTTCGGCAATCTGGTCAGAATTGTATCTATTTTCCTGTGAAATAATTCTTTTGATTGAAACTCCTTTTCGTGTTTTTGTTTTTAAATTTTCAGTCAACTGTTTTGGTTGTTGGTAATACAGGTTTTGTATCACATGTAATTGTACACTTTCTTGTAAATATTAAAAGGTAAGGTGTATTTGAGTCGATGGTCGTGCTTAGTTATTATTGCTATCACAGCACTTTCACTCAGGACGAAAAAATGTTTGGTCAGTTCTCCCAAATATGCAACTAGGAAAATATTCTCTGTACATTTTTGTTACCGTGTTAACATGAATTCTTGTCATATTCTTGGTGAAGACTAAGATGGGTTTTTGTTGACTGTCTCTCAATTGGTTATAAAACGGCCTTACTATTTGCTCTATGTATTCTTTGTGGTTAAACTTTAAGCACCACTGACTACCAAATGATGACCTTGAATGCACCAATCACATGAAGGGGAAACTTTTGGGTATGGAATACATATATCTATGAAAAAATGCATGAAAACAACATAAAATTATTGCATATGTGATAAAAACATCTCCTAGTTTAATAGAGAAGTATCAATTGAAAAGTTACACAACAACCCATACATATATTCATCTATATGACTATAAGTGACATTCTTTTGAGATCCATTAATGGCTATAATCCTGTTTTTTTTAACCTTCCCATGAGCCTTCGACAGAATTGGTATGGGTCCCTGTAATTAGATCCACAAAATCCGTAGACTTATTGACTCTGTGGTGAATGTATCCAAGGGATGACAGGGAGTTATAACCTTTGCAATCATGTGTGTATTATAGTTACTTGTTTCACCAGTAGGGTGATAATAAGTATTAGGGTGAGTGGCGCAGATGCATCCACTCCCTGTGACTTATGATCTCCAATGAAACTGTTTTGTATTTCTTTATTACTCCTTTGTCTCACACCTCTGCTCACTGTTTCTATTATGCTTTTCTTGTACTTTCTTCTCTTGCTTCGCGTGCTACACGGAATGTGGCGACTTGAACTTCCGCACATTTGTGCAAAGTTCTATGTCGAAAACAGACAGACAGACAAGTATTAGGGTACTTGCCTTTCTATCCGCTATCCTTTCGACGAATCTTCTCTGTAGAAAGGTTTCATATTATCTGATCACCCAAACATTATGCGCTAGTTCTCGACCATGGTTGTATTTTTTCTTTAATAATACGGTTTCATCCACATGTGCGACGGCACCTTCACCTCCCAATAACGAGGAAAGTTTCTCAATTTTCCAGGATGCGACATGCCTGCAGTGCTGGTACCACTAAACTGTTGATACGAGACTATTTTCAGTTTCAGCAGAAGGTTATTTTATAACCCAGTAATTACAAATATACAAAATCTGGATTAAGGACAAATGGGACCCGGCAAAAAATGTTCCTACGAAATATTAGAATCCTCAGCCTACCTACCCTGACATTTACTCGCGTCAGACAGATTGCAAAACGGTGTACATATTCATCAACCGACCTGCTGAAGCTTCTTTCCTAGTCAACCCTACATATAAGCCATACTAGAAGACTTGATCCTCACCAAATTGCAAACACAACTGTGTTAGAGCAGGCATTTGACTCGAATCAAGCGGAATAGAAGCTTCAACTCACGTGAGTTAAACTCATTGGGCCACTGAAGTTTAATGGCGTGGTTGCACTCCATTGGTGGTGGTTAGTGGTGCTTGAAGTGTAACTAGGCCAAAAAAGCCTCAAGATACTTTTCTTTCTTAGCATTCCAGTTCATTTATGTTTTGTGAGTTGTACATTTTTAGTGCACCTGATTTGGGTTAACTTCTTGGTTAGTAAAACAAAATGGAGAACTGCTAACAGACAAATTTTTTTTTCATCCTTGAATAAACTAATTCACTTCTTCTTTAGAATGAAATCATCTTCATACTCTTTTAACCTTAAATAATCCTGCCCACCTTTCGCAATTTAGCAATCTGTATGAAATCAACTAACTGGCATTAAGTTATTATTTTTTCTTGCACCGATTTGTTGGTTTACTGAATTTTTCAGTGGTATGCGATTAGTAAATTCAGTCGAGAGAAAGTTCAACAGTCATTCACAGCTGAAATTCTATTAGTTTAGTACATAAATGTGTACGGGTGACTTATAAATTACTCGTATTGTTCAGTACATTTCACATCTTTTGTTTTTGGTATAAACTGTATGCACTACTGATACAGTACAACCTTTTAAATAAAACCCACCTAATGTCAAATTACATGAAATTATGAGTTTGCAAATTCCCATTTACGCAATCCTCATCAGAGACTGACTGGCTGACTCTACATTGATATATAGTCTAATTTACATTAAAATTTTACCAATCAAGTGGTTATTTTAGTTAATCGTTTTTAGATATCGGAGGGGGTGGGTGAAATTAAGAGGTTAAAAGGTTACTATAACAGATGGTAGTAACAAGTTGTCTAAGTCATGATCTCGTCGATACTGGACATCAAGTCGACCCAAACAAAGCTTCTAAGACTATTTATCGTATATCACCCAAGCTCTCGCATGGTCTGTGAGTACGACTTTAATATAATATAACACAGGCAATCGGAATTCATCTGAACAAGCCAAATTAAAAGAAATTTGTACAGCCCCTTTCATTGCCATGGCCAGCCACATAATATGTAAAAAGTTTTTAAAAACGAATTTTTCCTCTCCCCTTCTTCTATCTTCTAACTTTTTTACCATTCTAGGTAACTCGTTTGCATTTTACGTAATTCTTCTGAATCATGCTATTCTTCTTAGTCATCATTGCTATTTCTCAAATTTCTTGATTATGTAATAACTTGTCGCTAACGCCTGTGAATTAACCTATCTTGATTGCTGTAATTAATTTTCAACTTACCTTCAAAACTTGCATATCTTGTTACTAATATCTACTAGTCAACTGTTGTGATAACCTTTGACCTCTTAATTTCAACCCCCCTGCGATACCTACAACTCATTAACTAAAAAAATCACTTGATTGGTAAAATTCTGATGTAAATTGAACTATATATTAATGTAGAATCAACCAGTCAGCCAGCTGATGACGAGGAACTAATTGAATTAAAGGAATGCATATTTCTTCGTCCAATTTGTTTTTTTCTTCTAAATTATGAGCTTACGAAAATGCTCAAATTGCTTTGTTTTGTATGGCGAATTGACACGATTAGGAAACTAGAAAAAGTTGAATCCTATGGGCAGTTTGGTGGTCAATTTGTAATTTGTTCGCTTCCTAACCATGATGTCTATGGACTGAATCTCTTGAATGGACATTACTTAAAGAGTCCGAAATCACGATAATATGACATTCTTTTGATTTTCAACTATTTTCTGATTGATTTTAATCTACAACAGGATTCACCTTAAAATGTAATTTCTGCTTTTGGTTTTTTCATCGAAATTTCAAGTGCAACTGAATATGAATTGGAACAGTGTAAAAAAGCGAATGAAGATGTTCTAAGTCAACAGACAGTTAAAATTCAAACTTTACAAGCTGAGGTAAATTTTGATATATTAATATAAAATTACATATCCATTCATTATGTGTAAATTTGTCGCATGGTGGCATGGAAATACACCAATTCAAATGATATTCAACTAAATTTACTATATGTATATACATAACCTTTTTCAAACCTCGTTTTCCGAGTGTGGTGGTAAAGGGCTTCAAACACTTAAGTTTCTGTAGCTGTGGTGCTGATTTTACAGGAGTATGAGGTTGCCAGTCTCACACCCAACCATCCCATGTTGGCAGCCTTACAGCCAACTTTTCCAAGTACTTACTTGTGATTATTTGTTTGTAGGTAATTCATGATATTATGATGTAGTAAGTATAATGTTACTGATAAAATGAACACTTTTGAATATCAGTGAGAATTTCGTATTCAAGTGATTGCCGACATTTGTTAAATAGTCAGTCATTATGGTTACACTGACTTTGTGAGTAACATCAGAGATAGTTTGCTTCATTTTTTATGCAGATACCAACAGAATGGGATGCAGACGTAATTAATTGACAAGACGGGGTAAAATGCTCTTATCTTTCAAGATTACATTTGCACCACATGTGCAATTTACCGCGATACGATCTATACTTTGGGGATATGTGTTATTATTATCATTATTATTACTACTATTAGTGAGAGTAAATTGACTGCTGTAACAATCGACTCTAGTGTTTGAATTAAATACAATCCCAACGGTTAGTGTGGTCACAGCTAGTGATTTTGTTTGAAATTAAATCAAAAACATAATTATAATTAATACTTCGGTGTCATTGTGAATGATTTTGAGCCATATCACCAACAGTCTCTTACCTGCAATTCTGACCGATAACTGCTATCTTGACGTAATGATCGGGCTGGCACATCGCAATGACCCAGCAAGCTACACTGGCTGGAACTGTTGTTCCTGCAGGTCCTACCATGCCAGGAAGGTTGTTAGGATAGCGATTAGACTAAAAGCAGTTACTGGCTTAGTGTAAGAATCTTTCTTACACTATGCTGGGGGTCTGTGGGCGAATTCGTACTGCTGGGGAACAAGGATGTAACTGCGGTGAGGTGTTTCCCTCAGATGACCAGCATGCCAGCTATGCTGTCTCTCCACGCTGGAGAGAGGGGGTTAGAAGGGATCGACCCCAAAAATTGTACATTCCGACTTACCCTACGGTGGTCCTCAACTGGCTGTAAGTTTACTAATACGGAACCAAACCAAGAAACTAGTTCATACTGGCCATGTGTGTCCGGCCTCAAGCAGTTGTCCCGTAGGCTGTGCTGTCACGCAACACTAACTCTTTCTGTTTCAGGCGCCCGAAGAATCAATCAACTTCCACGGTGTAGGCAGCCGGGAAGTAACAACCGCCCACACACTTCCAAAAGCACACGAAGTCTCCCCTAAGCATCATTCTCCTTAGTATCATGAGGACTCCGACTAAGCAGTCTGCACCTCCATAAGTGTCTGTCTGTCTGGATTCAACATAGAACTTGGCATCGAAGTGCAGCAGTTCGAGTTGCCACGTTCCAAATAGCACACAGAGGTAGACAAGAAGATGAGTAAAGAGAATTTATAGAGTTTGACAAATATAAGAGTGAAACAGAATGGGTAATGGTAGAAAGGAATATGAAAGATTACAGAGACTGAATACATCTGCGCCATTGACAACGATTTTGAGCCATATCACCTATTGTCTCCAGCCATTGATTCCTAGAGTCCCGAGGGCCCCAACCCGGGAGTCTGCATCTCCCTACCTGACTCAGTTTAACTGTCAAGGATTTCATGGATTGATGCCATGTTTTTTGTTTGGCCACCACTGGCTCTTTTCCAACCTGAACCTATATCAGCTAGCAAAGCCCGTCGGGGGAGGCGGTGGTTAGGCATGCGCAGCACGTGACCTAGCCATCTTAGTCTATGTAACTTTATAGCCTCATCGATTGATTTTCCCTCTGCCCAACACTCTACGCCTAACATCAACATTACTTATCTTGTGAAACCACCTTACGTGAGACAGAGATCGCAGACATCTATGATCGAAAGCAGTCAACCTTTTCATGTCTTCAACGCGTATTGGCCATGTTTTAGAGCCATAGAGAAGGACGGAGCGAACTGATGAGCCAATCGCATGCTAAATATTCGAAGACTGCTGCTCAGCTCAAGGTGTTGAGAAGACTCTGCATTTTTTCAGCACCTTTACCTAGAAGGATCATATCATCCGCATATTCAAAGTCAACGAGATTATGCCTTGATGGTAACAAGTCAATCCCTGAGTCGCTGAAGTCAGTTAGGGTTAAGTCCACTATGTGAACATTTATGGTGAAATTAAACAAAAATGGGGACTGTCGGCATCCATAACGAACACCAGTGGTTGTCGTCATCACTTTAGATGACAACTTTCCGTAGACTCTTACCTGGTTGCATGAGTTCGAGTAGAGTGTCTTGTATTTTCTCGGCATTCCCTTCACAACGAAACATCGCCAGAGTACCTCTCAGTCGACGGAGTTGAATGCCACTTTGATGTCAAGAAATATGACGATTGTTCCCTATGTTCCAGAATCTGTCGAGAAGTAAAGATATGATCAATACACCTTCTTCCTGGTTTAAAGCCTGCCTGATTTTCTCCCGAGCACCACTTAATCTACGCATGATAAATGAACATAGAACTTTAGATCCCATATTAGTCAAGCTAACCCCCGTGTGATTATCACAGAAAGACTTGCCTCCCTTCTTGTATACCAGGATAATCGATTATGAAATAGTATAACTGACTGACTCAGCAGTAAAGTGTTCACCTTAAAACTTGACCGTGGTGAGTCTGCATTAGTGAACAGCTTCAAAATGGCTCCAGCTGATGTCCGTTCATAGCGAATTCCACCTTCACACCAATCAGATCTTTACTAACTTAGCAAATAATAAAATCAGAAGATTTACGATAAAAAAAAGCAAACGAAAATGAGAAATAAGACAAAAACAACAGCCAAGGACGGAGATTATCAGAAAGACGTAATTTATTTGCTCAGTACATTTCGAACGATCTGTTAACAATAAGATGATTTCTGAGCGAACAGTTATTTTCGATAACTTCTTCAACCTGTACAGTTAAAAATCCATGAACATTAGAATATAAATAACCAGTAAAGAGAAATGAAAGCTATGTGAGAAACTGTATTGAGATTCATCATTATACATTTACTTGTCGAGTCAATTTGCATGAAAAATAAGCGGCAATTGTAAGACAGACTAAACTTGGTCATCCGTGGGGTCTACTATGCAGCCTGGCTTATAATTAGTGAAAAAGACGAAAAAATTCTCAAAGACAAGCCTTAAAAGTGTACAATTGATTATGTCACATGCCATACCATATACCAGTTTACATGTCGGCGTGGTCACAAATACATAGGAAGGAGTAATCGTGCTTTGCATGTGGAAGAACATGTACCCAAAATGGTTGGTAAAACAAATGAACTGTGAAAAATCAATAAGCGTAGGTGGAGGACTACCAACTTTGTCTGTAGGTAAACACGTAATTTATATGGATCACAATACTGATATCGAAATATCTTTTAAAGTTGTAAAAGTAGTTAAGGGTGGTTATGGAAATATACAGAGGCAATAGCTGTGTATGCGAAAACAATTTACTATTATCCTTAACCTACATTTTTAATCTTTATCTGATTATATAACCAAACATAGTGTGAATTATTCGTAAATCTTTGTTCGCACTGTTTATTTTAATTGACCTCTTAGTTTTCATATAAACTGATTTAACAAGTAAATGTATGTGATTAGATTGTTCGAAATATATTGCGCGAATACACCACATTTTTCAGTTAATCTCCGTCTTCTAACAACACTATCCAAGTTGATTAAAGGAACTAATTGTTTTAAACAATCAAATACTGAATGAATAAGTGCCACATTTTCACCTGACCACATATAATCCGCCATTGGTCCTCGAGGAAAGCAGTGACTTGACACGCCTAACATGTGTCTTGTTCGGTAGCCCTTAACAGCCACATCGATTGACTCTTACCCTTTTTACCTATCACTGCATTCCTGATCTCATTACTGAATACATTGCTCTGTTGATCACAAGACATTTGGTGGAGGCACCTAGGATGAAATACGGCCATTCTATTCATATCTCCCAAATAAAGAAATTAGACTGGTTTCAATTCCGCTGTGAATCGTGCAAAAGTATTTGAAAATATCGAATTGTTTAAGGTGGTAGTTTCTCTCCCAAGCTTCTTGAGTCCTTATCTGATTTCAATGTATGACAACACATTTAAGCGAACATTATTGCGCTTTCAATTAAATCTGATCAGGCTGGACTCTAATATATGTCACCTTACAAATAAAAATTCGAATATGAACCAGTCATAGTGTTTTGTCAATAGGATAATAAGATTGTGCATATAAATTGTGCAATTAGTCATAATAATAGTAATGATAATAATATTAATGGTTCTATCAATAACAAGGATGAAAAAATCAGGCGATCTGTGATAACGCGAATAACGAAAAGCAGCATGATTAAACAAACAAATGTTAAGGTAGACTTAGTAGGCGCTACAGACTAAGAGAAACAAATGGACCGATTAAGTAATGCTACATTGAAAGGGAAGTATATGAAATATGTTTCAATGAAGATGTGATAAGACTAAGGGATGTAAGAGGGGTTGAAAATATAAGTATGGGGTGGTGTAGAAGTCATCACTTGGTTAGATCTTTATAGGCCAAGGTAGAAATAATCCCTGTACGAACATTTTTGAATGCATAGTGTAGCCTTAATAGTTCGAATGCCTGTCGCCTCAGCTGTGTTCAGTTGAGGAATACGAAGATTCATTGGGATGCGAGGAATTACCTTGAAAGCTTTCGTTTTCTCCACTACATAACAACTATCAACTAAGTGTGATAAAATGGAGTTACGGATTGCTTTTGTCTATCGTCTGTCAAACCGCGATGGGAAATGTCCAGTAACACGTTGGCTAAGCTATCTGGTAGTACACCAAAAATAACTGTCACTTCAGATGCAGTTGAATTAATAAATGCACATAGATACGGCAGGACTGTCTAGCTTATCCTTCGTTTGCGTCCCAATCATTCGTTGGCTAGAGAATGACAAATATGGGTTTGTTGCGTAAGTCATATACTCCTGGAAAGTCTCTGGAATAAAATCTCACGTGACAGGTCACCATCGGATTGTAACCTAATAAATAGAGACTTTTTACGTGCAGTCAGAGTCTCAGGTTTTTTCTCTGTTGTTTTCATATGTTTCTTTATGAAACCACTCGGATAACCCATCTCCGTCAAGGAATCGTGAATATATTTAAATTCCTTTTGTAAGTGGTTATCCGTACATATCTTTCTTGCTATGCTCGTAAGACATTTATGTATATTAGAGTTAAGCCTAATGAGATTTAATTGAAAACAATGTTGTTCGCTTAAATGTGTTGTTCTCAATTTTACAGTGGGAATATTTATTATTTCTGTCTGTTATGATGCATTTTTTCCTAAGAGTCAAGCATGTCAAAACCATTTGTCAGACTTAAAAACTGAATTGGAGCAATGTAAGCAGACAATACAATTGAAACAAGAGAAAATTGACCAGATGGAAATGTATTTATCTAAACTGCCAACATTAGAAGATTACAAGGAAACATTGAATAAAGTAAATACTTTTAAAGTTTTCTTTTCTTTTTGCTTAGTTATTAATATTTCATTGGCAATCAAAAGGAAATTAATTGTTTGTAATCATCATTACCAGTCGAATGTTTTAGTAGTATGAATCTTTCTTTTTTCGTTCTTTGCGTTCAAGGTAGAACTAGGATTTCAAACTTTGAAGTTTTGATTAGTGGTGGTATTATTTTCACGAGGCTACGTTGCTAACCTAATGTCCAACAATCTCTCATTTTCAGGCTTCCTATTGACTAGTAGTAAGTGGGCGACATTTAGGAATATGTCAACTGGGAGTCGAACCCGGATCTTCTGAGTTTAAATAGTTAGTGCGTCGGTTGTACAGCTGTTAGGATTCTCGCCGATCATGCACATGGTCCGGAGTTCGATCCTCTGCCGACGCACATCTGATATCTATGGTTGGCCTGCAAAATTTGAGCTACCGATATCACATGCTGAAAATTCCATACCTGTACCAAAAATATGGTGTGGAATCAAGCTGTAATCAAAAAATAAAAAAAAATAATGCATTGTAGTCACTGTACGTCCGAAGATGATGCTGTCGATACTTTTGATTTTCGTTAATTATATGAAGTTTAAAAGTTTGTTTGTAGAAATTGTCATTAATTTTAAGAGGAAGATTGACTAGGAACTGAACCGACTTCAGTTAGACAATCATTAACGATAACCACGAAGTAATGGGCTGCTATCTTGTCTTTCAGGATTTCACCATGGGATGCTGTCGGTTGGAGAACCATTGGAAAACCAGTTGGGAGTTCTGGACAACGTTTTCGTCCTAGTTCGGGACTCTTCGTCAGTACACATCCACTGGGGTTGGAACCCAGGAACTATTCAGGTAGGCGGTTACCTGGCTTCTAGTGAGAAGTCGTGATGAGTGGGGCATAGCAGGTCAGGTGTGAGGACAATTACCCGCTGGTGACATTGGTTAGTAGTCCCACCATATGATGAATTGGTGGAAGTTGGAATTCATGGGCTAGCCATTGGATCGGGTCCCAGCGGCTTAAAAGTCCACGAGCCTGCCTTGCAATCGGTTGGTCCTAGGTTTGAATCCAGGTGGCGAGTGCGCACTGGTGAAGAGTCCCAAACTATGGCGAAGTAGCTGTTCAGCACTCCTAGATGTGCCAGTGGTTCTCTAACCAATGTCAGATCATGATGAAATCCTCCTTATTTGTTTGTCATATCGTACAAGTGTGTTTGACTTGTTTTTCTAAAAATCCCAAAACACAGTTACAGCTTATTCAAAATCAGAATAAATTATTGGAACAACGTGTTAAGAAATATAAAGACAAGCTGGACGATTGTGATTCACAGTTGACTGAGGCAAATAAAGAAATTCAACATAGTAAAGAACGTGAACGAATACTTCAAATGCAGTTGGATGCAGCTATAGAGGTAAACAAATAAATTAGGTAGATTTTCTTTATATTGTTTATTGTTTTATGACTGAATTTGGTTGTTATTACTCTAAGACTTTCCATACCTGGTTATTCATAGTCAAGGTATTATTTATTTATTTATTATTATTATTATATCCTGTAATTCCTAGAGGAACATAGGGCTCTATCTTAACTTTATCTTAAACTTTATCTTAATGTAACAATTCATAATCAAGATCTGCCTACTTTGAAAGTTCATGACTATTATTATGATTACTATTACTCATCCTAATTATTCTCTTGGGTTCCTAGTGGAACACACGGCTTCAACAGCATCCCTTCACTTCACTTTTTCCTATAGTCCTTTTTAACTGACTCGAAGATTTCCTGTGATCTCTCATTTACTTCTTATGCAATCTCGTCCATTTCACCATCGGATGCCCATCTCGTCGTTTCCGAATCTGGTTTCACTCGAGAGTTTGTCTGACACGAGACTTCATTCAACACTTTTTTCAGCGTGTGTTGAATTCATCTGAACGCATAAGGAACAAGATTATATTGTGGTGAGAGCTAGGTGCAAGCCTAAAATTGTAGACAGCAATTTACGTCAATGTTACGTCCCGAATCGGGGGCATGAGAAAAAACAATAACAAAGCTTAACCTTGAGAAACTCACCAGCCAATCACAGCAGGCTTAACGTGTGCAAATATGATTTGCTAATATATAGTCTAACTTTCTAAGAAATGGTGACAAGCAGTACAGAATAATCTTTAGCAAGAGAACAGCCAATCAGAAGACGCTTCTTCTCTGCTAACATTGACGCTAATAATAATGTAAAAAAACTATAAATATCTGTTGATTTTGTCAATAAACGATCTGTTGCCTGGCCCTTGTTTTCTGTCGTTACACTACGAGCAGTGTTAGATGAAGAAGGCTGTTTTGGAAAAGAGTTGGCAATCATAACATTAATATAAATGAGTTTGACCATCCATCTAACCTGTGGAGGAAAGTGGAGGTTGTTTGTCTGAGTTTCTCAGGATTCTAAGAGCCTGTGTTTTCATATTCACAGTGATAACTCGAGATTGCCTACAAAAACCCAAATATGTCACTAATGTATTAAACATGTATATATATATATATATATATATATATATATATATATAGGGTCCTAACCAGATGACCAGTACATATCTCGATGCCTCACGCCACAACAGTCGATGACATCATAAATAAGTACATTGTCGTCTACCTATCCTTTGCTTACATTGGGAATAATTTTTCTTCCACTAACAGTACATTAAGATGGACAATGAGTAGGTATGCGCAAAGCATGTCTCAATCACCTCATGCCATATACATTTGTAAAAGACATTCAATTCTTCACTGAAAGTCGGATATCTAAGTGTATACTAATGGTTGATATGAGTACTTGTACACTGTGCACGTCGGACACTTTTACTTACCAGCCTTTTTAAGATGACCTGAACACCTGTCTAACTGGTAAGCATTACGTTGACGGTCTACAACTGTCACTTGTATGTGAGACCATATACGGTGTCAAGCAGGTCACATTTTGTTGAATGAATATTTTGGATTTCCAAAGGATATCGTTATCAAATCTTACCTGGAAATGTATCATAAGCAAATAATTTAATATATTATATTTGGATGTCTCTCCTGTTCTATGATCTCTGTCCAATATGATGAGTTTTTTGATTAGTAATATAGTGGACAGTTTTAATCAGTTTAGTCCTAATTATCAAACAGTGCATAGATGTAGACCGGGTGTGAAGTAACGCTTCACTTTTGAAAGGTGGGAATTTCATTTGAAACTTCTTCCAAGTGTCCAGCGTGTTTTGTGCCTTGTCAACATCTTCACTCACTAGGTTGGTTTATGCTGTCCATCTACTTGATTTCGACCGAAGTAAGTATCTCCGTCGAGATCCAACCAGAAATGAATAAAATCGGAGCATATATTTACCAGTTCGAGTGTGCTTGTGTTATGTTGCTGCTGCTGAGTGGTTAATAGTAGTTTTCCCCGTCGCCAAATTGTTATGTACTCGTCGACAAATTATTGTTATGGACTGGTCGAGAAACTAATAGTCCTGACGCAAGATGGTGGAAATCAGAAGACCATTAGGTTTGCGATGATACTTCTATTTCCAAACACAAGGAGAATGCAAAAGTGGTATCACACCAAAGTAAGTAAAGTAAGTAAGTGTAAGTCACACAAATTGTGAGAACGAAATATATATATGACAAGGGTGTGAACAATCATTAGACAGTCTTAACATGAATGGCTAATTATAATGAAGTATCGATCCATATATACATAGCGAAATATAGCAGACATGTCAACAACCACCATATATGGATATATGTCACCAAGCAACGGACTGTCAACAAACACTCATATTATATATAATATAATATAAGGAGAATATACGTTGTTAAAGGAGACAAGTTCATACCAGTGAAATGGTCACAGACTAAGCGAGCAAATAGAAAGAGAGACCAACCTACACACACATAAATATATATATGCGGATACATATCAGCTTGTCGTCATTTTCTATGTATTCCATTTATGTCTTACGTCAATGGGTCCCTTTTTTCCTTCTATCGAAGACATAGAGAGAAATATCAGAAACTTATCTTTGTTAACTTTGTCTCGGGATTACTTTCAGGCATCCATTTACGTGGATCATGATTCCATGAAAAGATATGAAATACATGGTAAGAAGTACTTAGGATCGATTTATTGGCGAACTGGATTGGTATTGAGACTGAATAATAATGGCAGATTTTACATACTCCTTCGTCAACTTATTTACCTTTGCTTTCAGCTTCCTAACTCAATGATCTCTGAACATTTTAATAACACCTATAATTCGTCGCATAACATTTCATTATATAACGCCGTAGAGTTCAGTGACGCAAAGCAGAAGGCAAAGACATTGGTTGGTTTATACCAGTATTCTGTGTCAGTTACTATATACACTTCCATTTTCATGTTATTCTTCAACAGGGAACATACCATTAGGGTCAAATTATTTCGAGTCAGTTAGAAAATTGCATTTCTAATTATGTCTTATCGTTTCTACACCGCCGCGGAGAAACTTTTGCTGACATCACTCAATCCAGTATCCACAATGGATTTGCAACTTCGTTCAAAATTTGTGTTGCTTTACCATTTTGTGATGAATAACCTCCATAAATTTTTTTTCTCTAATTGTTCATTAGTAGGAAGACAAGATTTATTCGAAATGCAATAATTCGCGTCTGTTTTTTTATATCCAGTAAATAGCTCTGCAGACACTTGTAGGAAGGATGAGTCCAGATAGCTCAGGTAGTTTTTATCTAAGTGTTAAATCTTATGGGATATGAAGTTAGAATTCATGGTCCATTGGGATTCTATCTCAGTGTGGCTGAATCGTTAAGGGACTGACCTTGCAGAGAGCAGGTACATTGTAATGGGTTCAACCGCTTAGGGGTGGGGGAGGGATCATGGTAGCGTGCTACAAAAGAGTGACAAACTAGGACGAAACTCCTTTCAAATATTCCATAGTTTCGGTGATTGTGTAACTGATGTTAGGTAGTGAAATTAACAAATAAAGGTGTCATTTTTACTTCATCCTCAAACAATTACACCAAACAATCAAATGTAAGCGTATTAAAGTTAATTGATTTATATTATTTATCGATAGTAGTTGATAATATTCTCTTTAGTAATGAAATATATTAATCTAACATTACTTTTTCTAGCGCTTATATGAAAATAAAGACGACAAATCCAATTTGAAGGGTGTGAGAGTGACACCAATGTTTGTTGAAGACTTGAAGTTCGAATTAGAACGTTATCGACTTGCTTTTGAACAAACTAGAAAAGTGAGTAGTGTGTGTGTGTATTCCCACTTTTCCTTGTTTAATGTGATTTAATTTTGATCCCCCATTTTCGATAGATATTTAAGGTTTCTTTTCATAAAGACATCCTCCATAAGAGTGTTTCATTTCACGACTAGAAACAATGTTTTATGGAGATAAACGACAACAGAAATAAGAACAGTTAAACACTAAACGATACCATAGTGGAATATTGACGAGATTGGTCATCTAGCTAAGGATTTGGTGAAAGTTGTGTCAGTTCGCAAAACCATAAGAATGGTAAGCAAACGTGAATAGGCGAATATGGAGATAAATAAAGTGAGTGGATATAGAATAAAGTTGAATAGTGAAACGTAGAAATTACTGAATATATTCAAAACTCCGAAGTTTGTGAGGGGCAAATATACTGTCACCAGCAGTATTGATTTCCGGTGGTTAGACGAAAATTTTCCTTTCGATGAAGTCACTAACTAGGCTGCACATTCGTGTATTTATATTACATGTGTGAGAAAGTTCCAGATTAATAAACTTACTAAGTGTAATAAACAGAAAATAGGTAATAGCGCAATACTAGAAATATTTCTGGTCAAAGGTCAAATCGAAAATTACAATGTGTAATAATAAGGAAGATCGGGTAGGAAAGACAAAATAGGATTATAAGTACTAAAAAACTAGTCAGTTTGTATGATTACGCGTTAAGGACGTAGTATTGACGGGATGGGTTGGAGATTCGGACATGTAAAAATACAAACAGTAACCAAATCTAATAATGCAGATAGGGATTTAGAAAAGTGAATGTAACAAATAAAATGGAAGGTTGGACAAAAAAGGTAATAGGATAATCATTATTGGTGAGACTGACTTTTCTTGATGGTCACGGTAGGGACAACAGTTGGACGTATTTTTTGGACACATAGAGTAGGCTTAAGTTTTTGGATCGCCAGTGCATCAGCTATTTCTAGATGTGTTGATCTGACTTCCTTTGGTAGGTTCGGTCGGATTTTGTATATGGCTATTATAATCCGATTTTGTGTTTTTTTTCGACCCGATCTTCCTGAATATTACACTTTGTAATTTTCAATTTGACCTTTGACCAGAAATATTTCTAGAACAGTGCCATTACATTTATTCCCCTTGATGAATCTGAATAAAGCAAGAACCACAGTGGTTTGTGCAGAATAATATGGTACCACCATTTGTTTCGTTGGTTTCTCATCAGCTGCTTACAGCCTATATATATATATATATATATATATATATATATATATATATATATATATATATATATATATATATAACCGTGGGTGCAGTACTGTTGTAACGGCAGAATATAAAAGACTTGGTTAAGGAATGTTTATTTGGAATTTGGTATCTCTATATATCCAAATTATGCACACCTTATCTTCACCTTCCGTGTTGTGTTACTTCTGGCTTCCATATTGCTTTTCTTTGTATTCCTTTCACGTCTCCCATATATCTCTGCAACACTGTATCATTTACTTTCTCTGACATCAAATCTGTCTATCTGCCTGCTCTTTGATGTTTTTATGCCGACGAACGTTCTTTCATATATTACTGATAAATCTTGTCTGTAGGATAGAATCATGCCACATTATGGTATGAAATGTATGTTTCAAGCTGAAAAGGTAATCATTTCTTACTCCTTAAATGAATGGCAGCTTGCTTGCTCACAATATAGTCTGATGGTTTTGATTTTAAGTCCTTAGTGATACAGTTTAACCATGTTAACGAGTTTTGAATTGGACATGATGCTTGTGGCTTTCAGTTGGTCAGAGACGAGATCGACGCTGAAATCATTCTAATGTGATAATTGGCTTATTAGTCAATCCTCTAACTCAGAATTGCTAAAAAAATGTTTGCATGCTAACCAATGAATTTTTTAATGTAACTCTTAAAAATTTCTTATCTACAATTATTTTGTAATCAAGCGTTAAACATTGACTAGTTTACTGAAAACACCTAATTAATTATCTGTTGATATCTACTATAATAGAGGAGATCTGTGGTCTCAGGTCGATGATTTTGACTCGGTTATGTTCTCCGAGCTAGCTGATTTAATTACGAAGCTTTCGTTGTCCTTCTAGACATTATCATCAGCGCAGGTTTTAGTATAAAGTGAACTTGTTTGAATTTCCCATGAATGATATCATTGTATCTCCTGACAACTGTTGTTATGGTGATTGGTTGTCAATGTACATTATCCATTTTTTACAATTACATCATTCATGGAGAATTCAAACAAGTTCACTTGATATTAAAGCATGCGCTAAAGATGTTGTCTAGCAAAACAGCGAGAGCTCTGTAATTAAATCAGCTAGCTCTGACTGACTGCTTTCAACGTAGAATTTTGCACTGATGTGCGGCAGTTCGATTTGTCACACTCCCTCCTTTGTAGCACACAAAGTAAGAGGAGAGATTCAAAAGTGAGAGACAAGCATGATAAACAGAAGTGTGAGGGAAAAAGAATAATAGTAATATGGAAGAACAATAGCATTTAATTGGATATTATAAACCAGCTCAGAGAAGCCAACCAAGTCATAATTTTCATATCTATTCTTGATTGATAAAAATTTAAGGTTTTCGAAGTGTTGTTTATTAGACTGATGTGATGTGCCTTATTCAGTTCATTTTTAATTAGTTTTTTTTTCTTGGCGTTTATGCACATACTACTACGTATATAAAACAGCTTCTTGAAGCAGAAACATGTCGTGCAGAAGCTGCAGAAACTCGTCAAAAATTGGAACAACGAGAATTCAATGAATATCGTGCCCGTGAAGAAGCTGAGGTGACTGGCTTAAAAGCATCGTTATCCGCTAGACGCGCTGAAATTAAACAACTAAAAGATTATCTATCTGAGGTAATGTCATCTTTAGCACAAAATGAATTCTTTTGAATGCTTGTGTGCAATTTTTGTTTTCTTCATTTTCATCCATCCACATTCAGTGGATAAGGAATTTTGCTCACGGTTGTGTCGACCGCATGGTCAAGTAGTCAACTCTTCATAGATTAGTTAGATGTAGTCCAATTCAGAAAGGTAGGCTGGTCGATAATTTTGTGAATATGCACTGACTGGAGTGAAACGTATATCATTCCTTTTGACCCAGTGTCTTTCCAGAAGAGCAATATGAACTGAAGTAAGTTTAGTCGGTAAAGCAGAAAAGACCAAATTTTTAGTAGAAATTCGTATCCTGGCACTATCGACTCGGTTGGACGAAAATAGGACACCAAATCATTAAGTCTTCGACTGTTATTTGAGGATATTTGAGAAAGTGCAGACTCTCTGGTTGGAGTCCTCATAATGCTAAGAATCATAGGTTGGTGAAATGGCTCAAAATCATTCGCAGTGACACAGATATACTCACTTCTCCTTGTCACTCAGATTCTGGAAATCTTCAAAAATCTTAATTTAATAATTCTGGCTGCTTGCTGTAGAGTTCCTTCAATTATGGTTTCACTCACATTTCTTTTCTCTACTTCATTATGTAGCTTTCAGAAGTGTGGCAACTTGAACTACTTCACTTTTGTGCAAAGTCCTGCTATGACACATCAGTCTGTTAGTTAGAATATAATTCCTAAGGAGTAAGGTGGCAGTAACTTAAATCGAAGTTTAGTCAGCATGGACAGACACAAGTTGAATTATCAAGGCAATCAATTTAGATCATATAATACTAAAATAATAATAATGACGCAAACTCAATTACGCCCACATGGTGTCAAAGTACGCTGAACATGTGGCTGTGATATGTGGTCGGGATTTCGATAGATGCAAACATTTTATCTCAAAACTTGTCAGGTAGTTAGATTAGGTTGAGATATTTCATCCAACAGTTATACGACAATGCTGCATGCCAAGTAATCCACAACGGGAAGCCTTCGAAGTGAAGACGGGAGCGAGGCAAGGCTGTCCACTATCACCAATGGTCTTCCTGATTGCAGTAGATTGGATAATGCGACAGACAACGGGCAATGAGGAAACAGGCATAAAATGGACTCACACAAAAAACTTGGAGGATCTGGACTTCACCGATGATACATATCTGATTTCTCACAAAACTGGAAGATATGCAAGTGAAAAGCAACAACTTGGCAGAAGAAGCATCCAGAAAAGATAGGACTTCAGGTGAACATAGATAAAACAGAGGTGATGAAGATTCCTGGCTAACAGCCATAGCAACAACAACAATCAGCATAAATGGGAGGAACCTGAAAGAAACAACCTCCTTTACCTACCTGGGAAGCATCGTTTCAACTACAGGCCAACGGAACTGACGAGGATATCAAAGCCAGAATCGGAAAAGCAAGGCAAGCTTTCATTACTCTTAAGTATCTGTGGAGGCCAGCAGCACTCAGCATCAAAAATAAGACCCGGATCTTCAGCCCCAATGTAAAGTCAGTGCTACTATACGGATCAGAGACTTGGCGCGTCATAAAGAGCGTCTCAAACAAACTTCAGACCTTCATCAACAGTTGTTTTCGCTCAATACTCAAGATCAGATGGCCAGAAAAGATCAGCAACAAAGATCTCTGGGAGCGAACAAATCAGGAACCAATTGCAAAACAAATAGGTAGGAAGAAATGGAAATGGATTGGCGATACGCTGAGGAAACCATCAATTGACATCAGTAGACAAGTCCTTTAGTGGAATCCTAAAGGGAAGTGGTGAGTTGGTCGTCCATGTGTGACTTGGAGGAGGTCATGTGATGAGGAGATGAGAGCATGCAGGCAGACTTGAAGCGGGGTGAAAAAGTTGGCAGAAAACCGAAGGCAATGGAGATGCACAGCTGAAGCCCTATGTTCCTGTATGAATTAAAGGATATAATAATAATAATTTCAGTGGGAAGTCATAAATGTGGATGATATGTATCCACATATATATATTTATGTGTGTGTGTGTGTGTATGTTGGTCTCTCTTTCTATTTGCTCTCTTAGTCTGTGACCATTTCACTGGTATGAACTTGTCTCCTTTAACAACGTATATTCTCCTTATATTATATTATATATAATATGAGTGTTTGTTGACAGTCCGTTGCTTGGTGACATATATCCATATATGGTTGTTTGACATGTCTGCTATATATATTTTGCTATATATATATTTCGTTCACACATTCTGTGTGAACTACTTTACTTACTTATCACTTTGGTGTGAGACCATTTATTTTCGTCTCCTTGTGTTTGGACAATAGAAGTATCATCGCAAACCTAGTGGTCTTCTGATTTCCGCCTTCTCGCGTCAGGACTATTAGTTTCTCGACCAGTCCATAACAATAATTTAGCGACGAGTACATAACAATTTGGCGACGGGGAAAACTACTATTAACCACTCAGCAGCAGCAACATAACAATTTACTATGGATTATTCTAAATTGGAATTATTGTTTGAACAACAATTGAAATTAATGGAAATGTTCGTCAACCAACAGACTGGTCCAGCTTCACCTTCAAGCAATCCCAATCATACCATGCTACCATCTGTCGACGGAATTGTGAACAGTATTTCACAGTTCAATTATGACCCAGAGGCTAATGTCACTTTTGACACATGGTATCAACGTTATGAGGATTTATTCACTGTTGATCTCGCCTCACAAGACGATGCCTGGAAGGTGCGAGTTTTGCTACGTAAATTGGGTCCGGCAGAATATGAACGGTACTGCAACCTAATTTTACCACAGAAACCACGTGACAATTGTTTCGATGATACAATAAAGTTGCTGCGTGAACATTTCGGAGACCACTCCTCATTATTCAGCATACGTTATCGTTGCCTCAAGCTGACAATGAATGAAAATGATGATTTTCTTACTCACGTTGGCACAGTCAACCGAGAATGTGAGAGATTTCGACTCAGGTCCTTAACAGATGATCAATTCAAAGCCTTGATCCTCATATGCAGTCTCCAATCTCCTCGTTTCACAGATATCCGAACTCGACTGCTCAATCAGCTAGAACAAAATCCCAAGTTAACATTACATGACATAGCTGATGAATATCAACGGCTGATTAATCTGCAGAAAGACACACACCTGGTCGAATCAACACCTTCGAGAAGCTCTGATATTCGTGCATTACGAAAGAGCAAAAATCTCTCATCATCCACTCCTGACCCACCTTCTTTTAATGTCCTGCGGAAATCTACACATACTCGTCCAACTTCACAAAATACTGCAAAGAAGACCCCTCCATCACCATGCTGGCATTGTGGCGCGTGGCACTTTGTAAAGTCTTGCCCATACAAAAATCATCGTTGCAGCAAGTGCAAAATCATCGGTCATAAAAATGGTTTTTGTCAGCCACGCAAACCCAGATGTCAAAATCCAGCAAAAGCTCGACAAACGGTTGGTCCTAAATCTCCAAAAAGATCATTGAGTCTACGCGCAACCCGTCAAGTCACAACACCAGGTATGCGGAAATATCTTGATCTTCAGATGAATGGTCATGATGCACGTCTGCAGCTAGATACCGCCTCTGATATTACTGTTATATCAGAGAAACTTTGGAATATATTGGCAGACCACCAATCGCAAATACTTCCCAGACTCTTCTCAGCGCCTGTGGTGGGCGGCTCAAACTAATTGGTGAACTCAAATGTTCTGTTTCCTTCCGCAATACCAAATTCACAGGAATTTGCTACGTCACCAAGAGTGATTTAAATCTTTTGGGACTTGATTGGTTCGATCGTTTGCATCTGGCTGATGTCCCACTAAATTCTCTATGCAATGCAGTCAAGAAGCATAAAATGTCAGACAATTCCGGACGAAGCCGAAGCCGCAAACCCAACACGCAGACGAAACGACAGACGTCAACAACAAGCCCAAAGGTTCCAGATAAACCCCCAGGTAAACATCCTACTAATCATCCATCTTCTCAAAAGGGGAGGTGATATGTATCCACATATATATATATATTTATGTGTGTGTGTGTGTGTATGTTGGTCTCTCTTTCTGTTTGCTCTCTTAGTCTGTGACCATTTCACTTGTATGAACTTGTCTCCTTTAACAATGTATATTCTCCTTATATTATATTATATATAATATGAGTGTTTGTTGACAGTCCGTTGCTTGGTGACATATATCCATATATGGTTGTTTGACATGTCTGCTATATATATATTTCGTTCACACATTCTGTGTGAACTACTTTACTTACTTATCACTTTGGTGTGAGACCATTTATTTTCGTCTCCTTGTGTTTGGACAAAAGAAGTATCATCGCAAACCTAATGGTCTTCTGATTTCCGCCTTCTCGCGTCAGGACTATTAGTTTCTCATCCAGTCCATAACAATAATTTAGCGACGAGTACATAACAATTTGGCGACGGGGAAAACTAATACATAACAGTGGATGAATAAGATATGAATTTATCCTATAACCTATTCTGTCTGTCAATATAATAATCTAGCAGATTTTATTTATTCTTTTTGTTATTGACTTTCGTATATATCGATACATCATGTTTATGGGTTGACTGGGTAATGATCATTTCATTGTGGAAGGTGACTGTGAAGCACATTTATAAACAAACCACCATCTTGTGTGCATCTGCCGAAGTTTTACACCCGAAGCTCTTTTTATGTTAACCATGTCAGGGTGAGAGTTGAGACGCTCCCCGACATCACCGGCTGTTAAGCTAACTAACTAAGCAGAGTTGTAGAGGACTGACTACTGGATTTGATAGCGCTAACCAGATAGTAAGATGCTGTGAACAAGGCTTTCGGGTTCGTAGTCCCGATTATGTTCAATACCAATAAAGGTTTGACTTATCGGCCTATGCACTCGCATTTAAGCCAGTTGGTCGAAGATTGGAATCCTGTTCTGCCTACTTCAGCTTAAGCAAGTGGTTAGTATCATCAATGTTCACACAATATATGTGGCTGATAGCCCCGCTGCCTGAAAAGCAGTTTGTTATAACTAAGTAAGTAAATAAGTGTACTATCATTAGTTTTCAGTGATTTACAAAGTGACTGTGTTTCAATATAGAATGTTGCAGAGATGTGCAGCAGTTTGATTTGCCATACTCCATGTAGCACATAAAGGCAGATTAAAGAAGGATAAGAAGAGAATCAAAAGAACTACAATCTAAGCAGAAATGTGAAGGAGAAAGAACAGTAACATGGAAAATCATAACAGTTTAGTGGATGTGGGAGGTTACAAAGCATGAGTCCACCTCTGCCACTGAGCCATTTCACCAATAGTATCCAGCTGTTGGTTTGAAGTGTCCCAAAGACCCCAATTAGACAGTCTATACTTAAATGACTGGCTCAAGGTAAATTGTTCTTGAATCATCGTCCAGTTAATAACACTGTCTTATATCAGATAAACTTATATGTGAAACGAAAAATTATTTGTGGAAAGCAAAACACGTGGTTCCATGAAGTGTTTCTTTTCGGCGAATTCATTTATTTGGTTGTACAATCGCAATCATATATACATATTTTTGTATATATATATATATATATATATATATATATATATATATATATATATATATAGTGTAGTGATGATGAGTCGTCAAAAACAGTTGTCACTGTTAGTCAATGCATAAGAGAATTTGAATCAGTATGTTGTAGTTGCGTAATAAGATGAATAATTTACTTTTGATTGAACACTAGTCAATAACTAATGTAATGTGTTTAGTCCTTTGTTTGGTGCAGACTGAAGTCTATCAGTCAAATTTGCGATGTGGTCACCTTTCTAGTTGCCTCGCCATCACCACACACTTTGACGAATGCCAAATAGCACGAAACCTAGATCCAAGGCTTCCTGCTGATTGTCTCCAACCATCTAACCATAATTTAATTGAGTGAGTTTTAATTAGGAAGTACATAGAAATGAAGGAAAATATGGAATTACGTAAGAGTTGTGAAGAAATACAAGAGTTGATTTGTTTTTCAGGTTTGACCACGGATTGATATCAGTCAGAGAACCATTGAAAACCAGGGAGTTACTGGACAGTTATAAGGAGTTAGAAAAACAGGCAGACAAACATCAAGTCAGTAGTAGTGATTGAATGATTTTCTTTTGATTACAATAGAGGAGTCAATTAATTTTAGTGCATTAGTTTACTTTTCTTTGAATTTCACTCCGAACTTACCTCTTTCAGGTAACATTAGAGAAACAAGATTTTCTTTCAAATCTTTTTGAAGCACACAACGCATTAATGAATATCCTGTCAATATGGAAATCAACAAATGGTCAATTATGTCAACGTTTATTTGTTTATATACAAGAGAATGTGGATGAGATTATACGATTATCTAAACAATTGCATCATCTAGCCAGTGGACGTAAATTGGACCTTGCAGAGTTATTAATCCAACCGAAACCTGTATCTGTTAGCCTGAATGATGATGAGTTATTAGATGCTAATAAAGAAGATCAGTCAGCATTTTGTCAATCTATTGATATTGACTTACTAACTAGTAAAAGTAAAGGTAAATGTTTAGATTTTAAGTTTACAAGTCTTTAGTTTAATGCTATTGTAGATTTTCTTACAAATCCACATCAGTAAGGAAATGATTGAAAATGATAAAACACTAGAGAGTTGTTTTTCATTCTGATGAGGAATTGTTACTGGTGAATTTCATTACTCCAGGTGTGAAATGAATGCTCGTCGATGGTTGTCGGTCGACGGTGGAGCTACCTTATGAATTGACAGAATTTAAAATTCACAGGTCATTGGATTCTAAGCCAATGGCTGAATAGTCAACTGGCTGACCTCGCGAAATGAATATCCTAGATTCTCTCTCTCTTTGGGTTGTTGGGATGTACCGCTGAAGGGTCTCAAATTGTGGCAAAACAGTTGTCTGTCACTCCATGCTTTTGAATAGCCCTTTGACTGGTGTTGGTTTCTGGCGGAGTCTACATTGATAATATGATATTTCTTTAATCACTAATAATTTCGTTAGTTGATTTTACTTTGTTCCCGTTCTGTTCTAAGTGAATGTACACGCTTGATAGAATGAAGTAAGACGTGACATAGTTGTGTACCAACCTGATTTGCCACATGTCATATACATACTATAAAGACAGATCAGTATAACTGAGAAGTAGGGAGAAAAAGAGTAAAAGACTGGAAACTAAGGGAAATAAAGAAGTGTGTGTGTGGGTGTGTTGGAATGTTGTTATGACCGGAACTATGGGCGAATATGAACTTTAATGCGCTGGCTAATCTGTCCTAATCTCACACCAGCAGCAACAACAATAATACTACCTGGCCGCTAAAAGACGGGAGAGAAGACTGGATGTTGGTAAGGTAGCTTTCACTGTCTCAAAACAACAGTCAAAAAGGTTGACATTTAGAAGCACTAATGTCATTGAAAAATTAAGACAGTGAACAACCAATAGTATTGCAAAGGTCATAATTAGGGTGAAAGAGAAAGTCAGGTCACAAATCAATAAGTGGGGTGAGAGAAGTACAAACATGTGTAAAGATGACATGGAGGAAATTTTTTTTTCCTTCACGTTCCCAGTGGAACATAGGGCTTCAAGCTAGTGGCTTGAAGTTTGTGTAACAGTGTTTAGTTTTACAGGATGGGGATGCTAGCCTCATGCCCAACCTTTCCTCTTAACCAGCATTATTCCCGGCTTAGCGAGGTAAAGGAGTGCGCCGGCCGGGGATCGAACCCTGGACCATGTGCATGGTTGGCAAGCGCCCTAACCGCTATGCCACCGACGCACTATGTAGGAAATTAGGTCTGTATATATCAGATGTACTTCTGCGTGCCGATAAGCATTAACAACTCAACTTGTGGATGTTCCGGTATCTTTACTGTTCTCAGATCCTTGATATATATATATATATATATATATATATATATATAATTACTGTGAGCTATTAAATAAAATATGCCTGCATTGCTGAATGCTGTTCATGAGTTAACCTCGATGAATTGGACTTGGCTAGTCATCGCAAGCCAAGGATATTTGCAATTAAGCTATAGCTTCATTGTGTCATTGACTAATATTTGATAAATATTGCCGTCAGGTTATAACATCTACTAGGTAATATTTTTTCTCTTCGTAGCTAACTACTAACTGACTTTATAGAGCTGGTAGGTTATTTTTGAGTAATTATTCAAATATAAATCTAAAAGTTGATATATACAAGAAATATGTTGAGAATAATGCGTAAATTTAAAAGTAACAAACGTCCAGAATATCTCTCTTCATATTAAATCTTCAAAACTGGTTACCTAGCCTAGCATGTCGTATATTGACAGAAACGTGATATATTTCTAAGGTTAGTGAGTCACAAAACGGTTAAAATTTAGAGGATACATAGTTTTCATTGTGATAAATTACATCTAAGGTAAGGAAAAGAACTATACAACTTGCTTTTCCACACAGAGTTCTGCCTTCTTATCATGTGCTGCCAAAGCTTCCGTCAAGTAAAGGTCAGTGTGATCACGTACCTTTTGATAAATTTCTCTTGCTTTTGTAAAAAAGAATGCTGAAAGATGCGTCGGAGGTTGGGTAGTTGTGGTTAATTGAATTTCGCGTGATTAAATAAACCTTTTCCTCCACCCTTACAACATCAACCTTTATTGTTACTGTACTTCTTATAATTATAATCCTCTCAGTTTTTGTTTATTCTTTTCATAAGTGTGAACATAATTTAAGCTGTGTTATAGCTGTTAATTTTGTATTTCCCCTCACCATGCTGCTATATCAACAGAACATTAGATTCAATAATCTATAACGTGCTAAAGTTTTCAAACTGAATCGCCAATACTATTTGAAATAAACTCACTGTTATTGTTATTATTATATTTAATATTCTCAATTCGTACTTTGAATATTTTTGACTTTATATCGTAAACGTGGAAAATTCCTCTGGTTAATTTTGTTTTAATTTTATTGATATTCTGAGTAAATCGGATACAATATTGTGACAAACGCTGAGAATTCCATTCTGTATTATAAGTACTGTTTTTGGAATAAAGTAGATTATTATTATTAAAATGGAATCGATTAAATGACTCTACGTCCCTATTTGTCGGCGTGTATCATCAGTTCTGGGATTACAGAGATGATGAGTAATGTTGATAACCTTTTAAGTCTTACATTTTCTCTCTGTGCACTATTGCAAATTGTTTTCTGTAGAAGTGGGATTTAACTACAAATCGTAAACAATTTTCTTCGGTTGCCTTTCAAATTGTTATTTATTTATCCTAGAGAATGAACTGATTTTTGGTCGCACATATTTTTATAGTTTTTAAGTTGATAGAAGAATAGAACTTGAACACTGTGGTAGAGTGTAATTCCATTGTAGCGCAAATTTATTTTGATAAAGACTCACAGTGCTATACATTAATATTTACTGATGGCCACGTTTCGAGCACAATCTATTCCCGCTCATAGTCATCATGTCAAGGCAATACTCACACAACTTTCTAACTTCACTTATATAATTCCATAATTTTTCATCTCTTGATTTGATTGGTAGTAGTATTTTTCATATATCTGGTGTCAGCAATTAGTCATTTCTATTGCAAGTGTTGAATGTAGATTCTATCAACAAAGATTGAGTCAGTGATTAACCTCTCTCGCGCCCCACCTACCTATATTACTTTTTAGAATTTTAACTCTGTCCCACCAACCCTATTGTGTGGTTGTGTGTTAATGCATGCATTGCAATTGCTGAGCTTTTTCCTATATTACTCATCTTCGTGGGGTCAATCATTCTAATCGTAGTTAAATTCTTATTTTCTGACAATCTGACTACTGCCGATCTACTTCTTGTGTGACCTGTGTAGTTGACTTAACTCACAGTCGTTGCAAGGTATTTTGTAAGTTATATTATTTTGTCTAATTGGATCAACAGGATCCTTTAGCCTACAGAGCTTTTCCTACCTAAGTGAGTTTGTAGGTTTGAATACCACCCTAATTCCTGCTTTAATAAGAATCCTGCGGAGGTTCTCAGATGTCCCCTTCTTATATGATAAAACTGTAGATGCCTTACATTCTCTCTTATTTATGTTATCATTATTAGTTTCACCATTATTTTCATTTTGCTCTTTACCTTTTTTGATATTCCTAATGAGTTTTACAGGATAGTTACTTAACACTAGTGCTTCTTCTCTGTTTCATTTAATCACTTAGGTTTTTTGTTGTACTACTTAGTGGTATTGCTCGGTTTGTTAGACAATTAACTAAGCCTGCCTTAACAGTTAATATATGAATTAAAGTCTAAATATCTATTAACTGAATGTGTTGGCTTTTTATAAATGCTAGTGTGCCGTTTAGCTTCTTCTATTCGTTTCATTTTACAACCTAACAATGCTAATTCTCTTAGTTCACTTTCTGATTCAAATGTGAATCTTATTCCCTTTACTAGTGAGTTCTTATGTGTGAAGAAGCTTGGGATACGTTTTGTTTTGAACACTGTGAAAGTGTCATCCAATTATCTCCACCATATTTTTGCAGTAGGATTAAATGTATTTAGAGCACTATTTTCCCAGCTGTCCATAAAGATATCTGCTACGAATGGAGATATTGGTGATCCCATTGCTACACCTTCTGTTTGTTTATATATTTTGCCCTGGAATTTAAACGTAATTTCATTCTTAAAATAATTTCTTCAGTGGGTAGCTTTGTCCTAAGAATAAGTTTGTAAGTTGACTCTGTTTGTAGGATTAATTAGTGTATGGTTACTGAGGCCTTTTTGTTACATTGTATGTCTGAATACACAATCATAACATTTTCACTATAAACATCTATTCGTTGGTTTCATTTAGTATAACAAAAGTAAGGAAGGTAAATCAGTCGGTTAGGCTGTGAACCTTCATTATCTATTGCGGTTGAACTGGACATTTCTATTTACTACTCATTCAGTGGACAATACAAAATGCAGAGTCTTCTAAACACCATGAGCTGCAGTCTACGGCTGTTTGGCATGCGATTCGCTCCCGCCAAATGCAAGATGATGTTACAGGACTGGACTACACCGACTCCTAGATTAGAAATAGGGAGTGAAGTGGTAGAGCACGTTGACTGCTTCACTTATTTGGGAAGTACCATCAACCCCAACGGGTTGATCTCTGACGAAGTCTCAACACGGATACTGAGGGCTGGTTTCGCATATGCCAGTTTACGCCGTCTCTGGCGTAGATGTGATATCCGGCTATCGACCAAAGGGTGGGCGTACTGCTCATCAGTCCTCTCCGTCCTCCTTTATGACTGTGAGACCTGGCCATTGAGAGTGGAAGACATGAAAAGATTAGTTGTCTTCGATCATAGGTTCCTGCGTTCTATTTCCCGTGTGAAATGGTATAATAAGGTGAGTAGTATTGAAGTTAGGCGTCAAGTTCTAGGTAAGGAGGGCAAATCAATCGACGAGGTTGTGAAGTTACATCGACTGAAAGGGTTAGGATATGTGTTACGTATGCCTAGTCACCGCCTTCCTCGGCGAGCAATGTTAGCTGATATAGGGTCAGGCTGGAAAAAAGTTAGCGGACGTCAAACAAAAACATGGCTTCACCAGTCAATGAAATCTACAACAGTTAGTCTAAGCCACGTAGGAAGGTGTGGACTTCCCAGTTGGGGTCCTCGGGACGGTAAAAACCAATGGTTGGAAACAATTGGTGACATGGCTCAAAATCGTTCTCAGTGGCGCAGATGCATCCACTCCTTGTGACTTATGATTCCCAATAAAACTGTTTTGTTCTTCGTTATTACTCTTTCTTTGTATCACATCTTTGCTTACTGTCTCTATTATGCTTTTCTTGTACTTTTTTCTCTTGCTTTGTGTGCTACATGAAGGGAGTGTGGCGACTTGAACTGTCGCGCATATGTGCAAAGTCCTATGCCGAAAACAGACAGACAGGACAATACCAACCGATGAAGAATTATGTTGGAAAGAAGGTATGGAAATGATCCCACTAAAATATGATACTGATCGATGCAGTCGTTGAGTACTTGGCTGGAGCCGTGTAGGAAGATATGGCTTATCTGAATGAGGTTCTGAAAAGGCGAATGTCCCAAGTTTTTATTATATTGTGATCTATTAAAACTGAAATAGAATATTTTTATTATGATATTTTATATAGGTATAGTTCATTGCTTTTTATTAGATTTGAACTTCTTGTATTTATTATTATATATATCTTTTTAGATGGCGACAGCATTGGAAAGACTGCATGGCAGGATTCATTTCATAATGCTATACAGATTGCAACTCAACTATCAGATAATATCAAAACAGAACAACTTTATAATTCATTGAACCAGTTGAAAAGAACCCGAACATCACTATTAGAACTGCGTCAACAACTTGCAAATAAGTATGCAGATCATTTAGGTGGGAAAATAGATTGCATTGTTCAGTAGTAAAACCGATTCCACCTGTAAAAATCTTATTTGTAACCTTTTTTTTATAACTTTCCCTGTTCTTTGCTTTCTTAATCAGTATTCAAAAGATCTCATTTTGTAAATAAACTTGATTATATATTATATTATTTTATTATTCCTGTACATTCCCAGTGAAACGTAAGGCTGCAAGCTAGAGGCTTGAAGTTTCGGTAGGAGTGGTGTTTATTTTTACGGCATGCGATTGCTAGTCTCCTGTCCAACCTTCCTTCTTTACCAGCCATATTACTGGCTTAGTGAGGTAAAGGAGTGCGCCGACCGGGGATCGAACCCCAGACCACGTGCATAGTTGGCGAACAGTCTACTGATAAACCACCAACGTGCAAATAAACTTCATTATAACCTGTTTACTGTTATATCGTAAATAGATGCAAGAAACTATGCAATACAAATATGGCAACCTAGTGTTTAGTTTGTCTTACTTCCCATTTGTAACATGCCTAGGCCATATTAGTCAGTGGTTAACTAAGTGAAGTATAAATTCAATCCCGTTATTACTAACCATCTCGCTACTTTTAATATCAGTAAAGAAGGACATATCAGAAACGTGTAGTCTTTTCACCACTCCCAGTATTCCCAGCCATGTCTTAGACCTAAAAAGTTGTGTTAGGCGATGTGCTTTGCTATATGCATGCCATCTGTGAACATTTCCATTTACGAAAGATACCATGTACTCCTTCTGTATGTAATTAGAAGTCGTCAGATACTCAGACTATCGTAATTTATTAAATAGCTGAAGTAGCTGTAATAAAAGATGTAGTCGCCAACAGATTTTTCTTTTCCAAGAATCCCTTTCATAAGTTATCCAATCGTATGTATACTCTACAAATAAATTCATTGAGCCAATCAAATTCAGGGAATTCCGTCCTAGAAAATGCTTTAATTAACATGACGAATAATCTACATGAGAATGCTCAGTTGGGGAATAAAAGGTGAAAACTGGTATCACCATACATGCACAGAAATTACCTAATATATCTGAATGTGTGAAATAGACAGGATGATGGAAATACAGTTAGTTGCTTCAGTGAAATCTATATGAGAGATGAAGCTTTATTACCAAACAATGTTAATGATGAAAACAAGAATACTGATAAGCAGTGTCATGTACTAACATCCTCGATTCTCTAATCTGTCAGTTTCAAGCTTATGAAAAATAATTATATCTTGCTTTTGTGATTTGTTGTGAAGAGTTTGATCTAGACAGTATCCTCAGCACTTTCAACGCCCCATGCCGTCTGATAAAAAAGGACAGGAATCAGACCTACCTTTTCCACTTCTTGACGTTCTGAAAACGAGCTGTTCTATAATACGTACACTTATCACTTTGAAGCCTAGTTTGACGTAAGTTGACAAATTACGAAAAAGTCTTCTCTATGCTTGTTGAAAGGTAGTCAGCAATTCATCAGTTAGGGCCAATGCAACTTTTAAAATAAATTATGTGCACAGGGCATCCTATCATCCTGCTAACTTTCCTTCAACTAACAGGTGGTCCACATCAGTCACGTAGCATCATTTTACATTTGACAAGGTTAAATTGCTTAGCAAACATGTTCCGATTTTTGCATAGGGTTGTAGCGGTAGATAATTCCTCAAAATTACTAGTTACAGCATTCACCATTGAACGTTGGATGCTGACTTTCACTGTTTAAACCCGCTTATCCAACCAAAGGCTCTCGGCCAACCATCCACGTCGTCATGTTATGTCCGTTTGCGCACCGTCCCTAGCTAGTTAAGCAGTCGACCTTGCACTATTATTTGCTCGGAATTCGGTGTTTTGTTTTGTCTTTGGTCTACGCGGAACGAATACTATAGAGGTTGTGAGTATCAGATCTTGTGTTAGTATACTTCGTACTATTCGTGAATGTCAACACTCTCAGCCTCTAAAGGTTGTTCATAAAGCTACTTTCACCAGTATCCTCACCAAAAGGTATTGTTACGTCTAATTTTTTCTATCTTTAAACACCAAAGTTTTACTTTATGTACCATTTTATGTTATACTGACCGCTTGTGCTTCGTTGGATTGTTTTACGTTTTTGTTGGAATTGACATTTTGTTGATTTCGGGATAAATTAGTATCCAACTATTGTATTCCTTGAGTTTGGACGCCGAATAACCTCGTATTTGAAGCTTTGTACCACGTTTATCTTCTTCATTTCGTTTAAGAGAATAATAATCTTCCAGCTCTTCAACATTCTGCTATCAATATAATTCTATTTGAAACCATTTTGTTGTAATTTTCATGGAGTCTGTTGCTGGTAATTTGAATTTGGGCGAAGAATGGAAGTCCACATCCTCAAAGGTCATTCGCACGGCACCAGTAACAAGCATAGTACTATCTACATACAGGATATTAACGAGTGGGTCCCTAAAACATTGTAGTCTGTAAGACTTATATTATTCACTGCGTCTGTGGTGAAATGAAAGGAGGATTGCAAATTCTGACGGAAGTTAACTGTCTGTTATCGCTTCAGAAGTTAACTGCACATTCGCTCCCACGAGATAACATGAATTTCAGTATACCACTCTAACTAACAAAATTTACTTTTACAGCCAGGCGCTGCGTCAACATCAACGTAGTCATATACCAACCCCGTAGAAAAATGGCAACTGGGGTCATAGATACTGTGTCAGTGGATTTGAACCCCTGCGAATTTCACAGGGAAATATTTATTAATTATAGTATCACTCTATTTAGTTTAGAAACTTGGATGATGTGTCAATGCTAGCAAAAGTAATAACAGTTTTGATTTTCTAAACAGAAACAAGTCACGTCTGCAGGCGAAGACTATTGTACAAGGTTACCAACTGCTAGTGACTGCGGTATGGAGATTAAACTACAGTGTAAGGATAAGAATTTACAAGTATGCGGCCCTGACCACTGTAAGCCTGTCCAGACTCATAAAAGGAGACGGAATAAGTCCTACTCGCGTCACAATTATTCTTTACTATTTATTTTATTTTTGATTACAGCTTGATTCCACACTGTATTTTTGGTACGAGTATGGAATTTTCAACATGGATATCGGTAGCCCAAATTATTAGCTGACCACCCTATATATTAGTGAAACCAGACTGCCGTAGGTCATACTAGTGGCATATCATCTTCCACAGGACAAGGTCGGAACTAAAACTATGGTCTTACTTAGTTTCCCGGAACTAGAAACCCACTGTGGGAATAGGAAATGCCTGCGTGACGCAGGTGGCAAATAATTCTATGAATCTATTTGGTTTTTACCTTGCGATTTGACCAAATTATTATGGCTCTTAACTTCAACCTGTACATTGATTAGAGGTTTAGAGGCTGGCGGTATTGACGTTCACTGATAGTACGGAGTATACTAACGCAAGATCTAATACCCACTACTTCCATATTATTTGTTCTGCGTAAACCAAAGGCAAAGCAAAACACCACAATCGAACGTACAAATTACGAGATTTATTTTGGTACCGAATGGCAGTGCGAGATGATTGCTCAGCTGGCTAGGGATCGTGCACGAACGTGACACGACGGAGCACCAAATGGCGTGGATGATTTACTGGAAGCCTTCAGCTAAACAAGTCGACTTAATCAGTGAGAGTCAGCATCCAATGTTCAGTGATGAGTGCTGTGGTCAATAATTTTGGGGAATCATTTACCGCTACAGCTCACTCCTCACCTACTGAGGTTGTAAAGTAAAAAAACTCGATGGTTCCCCATCGATAATCAATCTCTACCGAGCGGCTTGGTGAACTGCCTACTGGTCGTCTACCTATGCTAATAGGGTGTCTGTACATCGCTTTGTTTATGTTTGTCCGTTGGATCTCATGCTTCTTGTCCAGTATCCGTCGCACCTGGAAAAGAAAACAAGAACGCTACTAACCTTTTTGGGGAAGATGTACCAAAAATAAAGTTTGAAAAATGATATGCACCTACCACACAATAAAATAACGCGAAAAATAGAACATCAAAAATGTATATATCTAATTTTTTAGTGAATGTAACCACGTACGGTTATAGTAAAATTTTTTTACTTGAGTTGCGGGACGCAGTATAATAAATTTATGTCTGAAAGAAAAAAATGAATACCACAAACGAGTACAGATATGCTTGGAATCTGACGTTTCTTCCAGAACGCGTTTTCTTTGAGGGTTCGACAGAAGGTTCGGTGGCTTTCGTCATGCTAGTGTTTTCTCCGAGGACTAATGGATATTCGGTTACTTGTGAATCATTAGGAATGTTCAGCTCTAGGCTAATAGGATTGCCTTCTAAGTAGGCTGACGTGTCAGCACCTCGGTGTCTTCGCGGCCTTTTTTGTCTAAGACAAAAATTTATCCGTAAGTTTAATTATTTTTTTAATTTTTGATTACAGCTTGATTCCACACTGTATTTTTGGTACTAGAATGGAATTTTCAGCATGGATATCGGCAGCCCAAATTTTGCCGGCCGACCATAGATATCAGGTGTGCGTCGGCAGGGGATCGAACTTCGAACCATGGGCATGGTCGGCGAGAGTCCTAACCACTGTGCCACCGTCGTATGGAGGTTCCGAAGGACGACTCACAGAGTCACGACGAACAAACACATGCGAAGAAGTTTTCAAACACGGGTGAACAAAGACGTGTGGAGTCCTCAAAAAGAAACTTATCCAAATTTTACTACTATGTAAATAATGAACATATTGTACACCACTTTGTTTTAACCAGAAACTCTGTACTTTTGACTTTACCTCGGGTTTTGAATAAATATACAGCTGTGCCTTCGACTCTCCGTCTTCTCCACCATCTCAACTGCCGTCGATCAATCCTAATCACCTGCTTTCTATCTCTGATTTTTGCAGGAGCACCGTAGTTTCTTCCTACGTACTTTGGTCGACCTCCGGCAACGTTAACATTGGAGAATTACTACTGGAGCAGTCTTTCCGCAGCACCTGGAGTCTATTACGTTTATTGTGGACTGTGGACCTTTGTAAACTCAAGTA